GCCCTCCCGGACTGCACCAACCCTGCTGACCACCTCTCCTCCTCTGCACTCCCCCAGCCCTGAGATGATAAGCCCCACACCCCTGCCCGGACTGTTCCAAGTCTTGCCCTGTCCATTGTGAGTTTTGAACCTTGAACAAGAGAAGCTACACTCAAGTTTTCCTCTGGTCTCCCTCCCAAGGGAAGTGAACACAGAGGGTGAACAGGAGAGGGGCTCTGGAATTATGAGGGGACTTCAAGGGACTTGTGATAGGTTTATTGTGCTAACGTGGCAAATAGGAGCATGTGGGATTAATCAGGTCACAGTTTGATTGGAAGGCAAAGAGATAAATGGCTCTGAAAAGCCCACCCCCCACCCCCTTTCTATTACTCTCTGGCGATAGGAGCATGCTTTAGTGTGCGTGTTGCTCCTATAGCTAGTTCTCTGCCTCAACCTGTGAGCTACACTACCTGTAGGCCAGGCCAACCTGTGAATCGTGTCCCTAGAGTAAGGTGACCAAATTTTAACATTGGTAAAGCGGGACAAAAGCGGGACACCATTGATAAAACTCATATCCTGGCAAAATAGCCACATGGCAGCCAAAAACCGTATATCCTAGCTTGTCGTGCATTCTTTCTAAAAATGGGGACTTTTTTACAATGCCACAGGACATGGGGAAAATTGTTAAAAATCGGGACTGTCCCGCCAAAAGTGGGACGTCTGGTCACCTTACCCTAGAGGCTCCTTCGAGACCAGCTTAGCCACGCTGCTGGTGCATATATCACTGGAGCTTGAGGCTGGTGAATCCCATCGTTTTGCACAGCTTGAATTCGATATCCCAATTGGTCCTGCTTCACTAAGCTCCTGAGCTACTGAGTGTTGGTGACCCACCCTGCTGCTTGCTGTTTGCCTTGCCTGAGGGTGAGCTCTGCTGTCTGCTTCCTTGACCGTGGACCCTGCAGTCCACATGAGTTGAAGGACTTCCAGTATATTAACTGTTCCATGGAAGTGAGTTGAACTGAACCCTCTGTACTGCTGTGTAGACTAATTATCTGTTATGCTTCTTCTTCTCACTGTATAAGCCTATCCTTATACAGTGTATATACTGTATAAGTATCCTTATACTTATATATGTATATAAGTGTCCGGGTTTTGTTTCTCTAGAGAACCCTGCCTAACACAGGACTTCACTCAGTTTTTCACTCATGAATCTTCCCGAAACCCAACCCACTCCCATGGAGTCGATTCCCACTCAAAGCCGGCTTATGGGACAGGGTAGAACTGCTCCCGAGGATTTCTGAGACTATAAACCCTTTCGGATGTAGACTGACTCATCTTTCTCACTCGGAGTGGCTGGTGGCTTGGAATTGCTCATCTTTTAGTTAGCAGTCCATGCTTAAACCACTGCACCACTAGATGTCCTTTTTTAAAAAGGCAAACCCATTGTTGTCAAGTCAATGCCAACACACGGCAACCCTACATGTTTCAGAGCAGAGTCAGGCTCCCTGGGTTTTCAATGGCCGTGGTCCTGGAGTAGATCACCAGGCCTTTCTTCCATGGTACCATGGAAGTACATGCAAACCATCAACCTTTCCCATGGGAAAAGCTGAAACCTCCTTGCCATCAAGTCAATGCCAACTCCTAGCCCCCCTGTAGGACAAGGAAGAACTGCCTCTGTGGGTTTCTGAGACTGCAACTCTTTACAGGAGTAGCCACGTGCAAACCACGCCATCCAGGGCCCTTGGGTATCCCCAGGGTAGGAGAGGTACCCAACATCTGCCAAGGAGGCCGGGCTGGGGTAGAGTGCTGCATCCAAGCTGACCCACAGCACACATGGGAATCTGAGGTCCAGGCAGAATAGAATGAACCATCTGCCTGCCAAGGGCATCTCTTCAGCTCTCAGCTGCAACCCCGCCCCTCAATCTTCAACCACTGCTGTTTTCTAACCTTTGACCCAGGGATCAGCAAACCCTTCTTGCAGACAGATCCTACCTGCTGCTTACTCTTATACAGCCAGCAGACCAAGAACTTTATTGATGGATATATTCTACAGTTCTAAATAGTAAGGGAAAAAAGACGACTCCTGTTCATGACACGAAAGTTGTATGAAATTCAAAGTTCAAAATCCTTGAATAAAGTTTTAGTGGAAGCTTAGCCTTGCTCATTGTTTGCAATCCTCTCGAGCTGCTTCCCTGCTCCAAGGGCAGAGCTAAGCCTTTGCCACCAAGCCTATGGCTAGCAAAACTCCAAGTATTGATTATCTGACCCTGTGCAGAACAAGCATGCAACACTTCATCTTGCCTCAAGCAACACACACACACACACACACACACACACACACGCACACACACACACATGCATGTACGCATCCACCATTCAACACACACCTAGACTTTTCATTAGGAAGCCTTCTATGGTCTGCCTGGGGCCTGAAGTGCCCAGGTCTGTCCAGATCCAGGACATGGCATGCTTCTCCACGTTCATTTACCCTTGTGATGTTGTTTGTCTCCATTCCGTTCCAGCTCTCAGGTGTCACAGGAAGCCAGCAAGCCTCCCTAGGAGTGTGTCACCCCTCCCTGTGTGTCACTGTGGGGGTGGCCATCACATTGCGCTTCTGACGGCATCGACAGCTTGGCACAAACATGCAGCAGCTAAGGAGTTTCCTGCTCCAGGTTGCCAGGCAGCTAGACCACTGTGCCCAACCCATCCAGCCCCTGGAATCTTCTACTTCTATGCTCAGAGGGACCATGATGTCTGGCCCTTCCAATGTTTAAGAAGCCTTCTGGCAGCCCGGGCTGGGGCACCAGTCCCCTGCTCACTTACTCTCCAGGACAAGACACTCACTGCCACCCCAGCCATCAGTTCCCCAGTGGGTGGCTCTCAGGTAATCCAGGCCCCTGCTTCAGTGCTTGGCATACCTGTCCCCTGCAGCGGTCCGCCATTATCGGTGCCATCCCCCAGAGCTCAAGCCAGAGGACTGGGCCCCGGGAGGAAAGCCACCATGTAGCTTTAGCTCACCTTTTTCCTACTTCTAATATCGCTTCCCAATCTGCAAACAAGCACCCATGTCGGGTGTTGAGAAGGTGCTCCATAAGGTTGAGAAGGTGCTCCACAAGAGGCATGTGGCAGAGAGGAGAAGTCTATGAGAAGGATGGCTCCCCAAGTGTTTCTCCAATCAACCCCCTGCCTGCCTGAACCTGACACAAAATAAGACTGTCATGCCCCCGTTTAGCCTGGATTGCTCCTTCGTGTGCAGAATGGGCCTTCCAGGAGCGCTTCAGTTACTGCCCCACCCCCACCCCACGCCTTGACTGTAGAAACAGATCATCTGTGGCTGAGGAGGGAAGGGGCCAGGTCTCCTTCCGCCTCCCTGATCACTACACACACACACACACACACACACACACTTGTTGATGGACTGGTAGGAAGGTCTGATCCACGATTCCAGGGAGCTCTGCCTCTAATTTGCATGTTCACATTTCTGCTGCTGTCCAGACTGGCGCCTCTGCCTGACTTCCCCCAAGGTCAGCGGGAAGAAGCAGGAGCCCCAGATTCAGCTTGAGGATTGGGGAGGGGCAAGGGGGTGTCCACTAGCCCCGCCTCCACCCAGCACCCAGTTCTGATTAGGGCCTCCTAAGAAAACCTGGGGGCATCTTGCTGACCCTACAAATGCCTGACCTTAGTGCCAGGTCCTCATTTGAAGCCCAGGGTCATGGAAGGCCTGTAGCCTAAACTTCAGGATGCCTGGCTGCCTCTGTCCAGCCACAGCTCCTGTGCAGGTACCCTACACCAACTAGGGGTTACCTCTCCATCCTCCACCTAACAACCCCAGAGCTGTTCCCAGGAAAAGGCAGACACTTAAATTTTGGTTGAGAGGGGGTGTTGGGGAGAGGATGGCCTTGCAGGGCATTCTAAGTAAAGAAAGAGACACTGGCCCACGGACACTAAAAGACATGAAATGGCCCCGAAATGCCAGGACGTGAATGGCTCTCCACCCCTACTCCCACGCCCAGGGTCTTCCAGTGGATAGACACCACTCCCCAGTTCCAGTGAAATGCAACAGCTTCCATCTGGGCCACATCCAGTAGTGCCCTGCTCCCTCTAACCTGCCCCCTCACGCTATGGCTCAGGTTTGAGGACATGGCCACCTCCCCTTCCTGCAGCTGCCGCAGGTGCCTGTGCCTTTAAGAAGGCCAGCAAGGGTCTGTCAGGGGTCTCTAGCAGACCCACTTCAGGCCCAGGAGGTCGAACGTCCTGCCCCACCCCCACCCCCCCAACCCACTTGCGCCGCCCGCTGTTCCCAAACAGGTCCCCTTCCGGTGTTTCCTCCAGGGACTGGCAAATCCCTGGTGTCTGGACCCCAGCCCTCTGCACAGTGGGAAACCGGGAGACGGCGCTCTTTTGCACAATCCTGATTTGTAGCCCCATTAGCAAGGCATTTCTCCTCTTCCAATAACCCTTACCCAATACACCTTTTGCCCACCTCCCCCAAGCCCCTGAGGGCAGTGATATTCAAGGCAGCTCTCAAGGACCCTCCAGCGCCTCCTTCCAGATCCGCCTAGTAGAAGCGTCCTTTCGCCTGAGGGGAAGGAAAACAGGTCCCCCAGTGTCCCTCTGGCCCCAGTGCCCTCCCTGTACCCGGCCCCCTTTTCTCGGCACAGGGAGAGGCGAGAGCTTCCTTAGGCCAGCCTCCCCTCCCACGGTCTGCAGAGATCCGCCGTGCCTTTGACGCCGGAGCCGGACATCTCAGGGGTGGGGAGGTGGGGGGATCTCCAGGCTGCCCAGCAAAAGCGCGGAGGGGCAGGAGCAGGCGACTTCAGTGCGGGTTCGGGAGCTTAGCCCCGCGCCGGCTCTCCCCTGCTCTCCGCCAGTCCAGGACGAGGCTTGCGGGGATCGCCCAGCAAGGGGGGGCGGCGGGGTGGGAGGTAGGGGGGGTGGCGACTGAGGTCCGGAGGGGAGAAGGCTCTGGAAGAAGGAAAAGGGGTCTTGGGAAGGGAAGGGGCAGCAGTAGTAGCCCTTACCTGGTCCCCGGGGACCTGCCGCAGGGCTGCGGAGCTGCTGTGGTCGATCGGCCTGGAGCCCCCTTTCGCCGCCGCCCCGCGGCCCCGCCGGGAGGGAGGTTGAGCAGCGGACGACGGGATCCGCGCCCCACGCCGCCCCGGCTGGGCAGTGTCTGCACCCGGAGCGCGCGCCGAGCCCGGAGCTCTGCGTCGGCGTGTCGGGG